GGCCGTCCCGATATTTGGGGCTTTTTCTTATATAGGCACCGATTACCCCCCACCCCCCGTCCCGATTTTTCACACTTGCCGTCTGGTCACCCAAGACCCCCAGTGCAGCGAGCTAAGCCACGAGCTCAAGTAGTTGTGGCCGAGTGGTTAAGGCGATGGACTAGAAATCCATCGGGGTCTCCCCGCGCAGGTTCGAATCCTGCCGACTACGGGAAGGCTAGCGTTCGGGCTGCGGTGGCTTTTACTGCCTGAGCATCCCTGGTGCCAACCAGAGCCAGGGCCGGTGTCACTTGTCTACACTTCACATGCTACAGTGTCCTCGCACTTGAGGGTAGACACTGACCGCAGCAAGAGGAGGGGTGATCCTGTCACTGTAGCTAGCCCACCTCCCCCCGATGGCGCTCTTCCGTCCACCTGGCGCTGTCTACACCAGGGCGTAGGTCAGTTTAACTACGTTGCCCACACCCCGCGAGACAGCGCTATGCCAAGGTAAGTTCCCGGTGTGGACCAGCCCTTAGCGCCCGCCTAGTATTTCAACGTGCGCACGGAACTGGGAGGGTAAAACATGGACTCCCACATACAGAGACCGAATTCCCCCAATTTAATTCTCGCTGCCCTTTCCCGAAAGCCTCAAAATTCCTTGCATTTTTGTGATGGGCGGGAGACTAAAGGCAGTGCGATTTTGCCTCTTGGCAGGTGGTTCGACAAGAAGGTCCCTTTTTAACGCTATGATTCCAAATAAAGTTTAGAGATTAGTTATTTACATTAAAATCAGTTACTGGTGCCTCTAAACAGCACCATACCATGAAATAAGAACAGAGACAAACCTTGTCCCAAAAGGCCAATTTCCCAAATGATCCGCAAACTATTATTAATTTCCAAGCCTGTCCCCCGCAGGGCGGCTGGGCATCTGCCGTTTAACGGCTCTGCAGCCACCTTCCCAGTAGAAATACCCTTTTTGGCGATTCCCGATCCTGGACATCTGTGAAATTCAGACTATGAGCAGCCAACCTGGCTCCCCGTGCAAGGGGGTGGCCTCCCAGCCCCGGTGCCCTGACTACACAAGCCACATTAAAGCACTTTAACACTGCTAGGAAAGGTGTGCCCTCTGCCTCTCTCACGCTCCCCGCCCCGGCCCCTCCGTTGAAAAGCAGCTGGAAATCTGGAAGGATGCCCATGGAATGAAGGGATGGAGAAACCTTCCTCGGCACTGAAACTTGCTGGACTCAGGGGGCTGTTTTTCGCGGCTCTGTAAAGTGCCCTGAATTAGTATCTCCGACCCGAAGACGCGCGCGGTGTAAGCTTGAAAGAGTGACTCACTCACCAACAGAAGTTGGTTACCTCACCCACCTTGTGTCTCTGCTTTCTAAGCCTAAACTAGAAAACCAAGCCTGTCCTAAGAAGACTAGTTTCTGGCCTCGTCCATGTGCGTGCCTTTCAATATCTTTCCCCGTAACAGACTACGTGAGCATTTTACATGTGAAACGTAATTTCCAAAGTCAGTTTTGCTCAGTACTGAAACAGATGAAAGACTGCCAGTATCTTCGGGCAGGTCAGGGCTCCCTGACATTTATGTCAAGACGTGGCGTGTCTAAAGATCAAAGGCGTTTATAGCCCAATCCGTTCTGTGGGAACTGGAGATTCGTTTTCAGAGACACGGGATAACAAGATAAGGGGGCGTGTGATTCATTATCTTTTAAGCCCTTTTTTGCCCAATATTCCCACAGCATCTTCCGTAAATTAATCTTGAAAATGGTCAGTAATGCGGGGTCTCCAAAGTGAGCTGAAAAGCTGGTGTCTGCGATTTGAAAATCGCCACAGACAGTCAATGCGTCAGTGGTGTCGGAAATCCCCCACCAGGCTCTCTGTGGGGGAGAACATGCTTTGTATGTAAGCGGCTGTGCGTTCAATCCGTCTCATCGCCAGGGGATTCTTCTGGATCATTTCCCAGGACCGGGATGGGGGTCACCCCAGGGTAAGGTGGAAACTCTTGGAGCGCCAGACCACTGTTGCCACCAGCATCGGGCATGGAGACTCTTCAGGACCTGGCGCTTCTCCAAAGTGTCCCTTACAAACCAGAAAGCTCCCGGATAGAATGACTGGCTTCAGGGAAGGGGAGGGGAAATCTGCTTTCAGGTGACAGGGTGCTCTGGGCATGGGAGGGGCTGTGGGTGTAACGCACGGCAACTGCTCTATCTGTGGGGACACAGCTCAGGGTCCATCGTGCTCACAGGGACAGGCAAGCGCCAGTCCCACGGAAGGAAGAATCCCATGCCCCGCTACAGACTAGGGACCGAATGGCTCGGCAGCAGTTCTGCAAAAAAGGACCTAGGGGTGACAGCGGACGAGAAGCTGGATATGAGTCAACAGTGTGCCCTGGTTGCCAAGAAGGCCAATGGCATTTTGGGATGTATAAGTAGGGGCATTGCCAGCAGATCGAGGGACGTGATCGTTCCCCTCTATTCGACACTGGTGAGGCCTCATCTGGAGTACCGTGTCCAGTTTTGGGCCCCACACTACAAGAAGGATGTGGATAAATTGGAGAGAGTCCAGCGAAGGGCAACAAAAATGATTAGGGGACTGGAACACATGAGTTATGAGGAGAGGCTGAGGGAGCTGGGATTGTTTAGTCTGTGGAAGAGAAGAATGAGGGGGGATTTGATAGCTGCTTTCAACTACCTGAAAGGGGGTTCCAAGAAGGATGGATCTAGACTGTTCTCAGTGGCAGAAGAGGACAGAACAAGGAGTAATGGTCTCAAGTTGCAGTGGGGGAGGTCTAGGTTGGATATTAGGAAAAACTTTTTCACTAGGAGGGTGGTGAAACACTGGAATGCGTTACCTAGGGAGGTGGTGGAATCTCCTTCCTGAGAGGTTTTTAAGGCCCTGGCTGGGATGATTTAACTGGGGATGGGTCCTGCTTCGAGCAGGGGGTTGGACCAGATGCCCCCCTGAGGTCCCGTCCGACCGTGATCATCTACGATTCTATGAACTCTGGATGTTCTTGTACCACCCGCTCTAGTCAGGAACGTGCTGACTTCGTTAGCCAACGCCTAATGAGTTACGTTGCCAAGGCCAGGCCTACCCTTTCACAGCCTTTGGTTCACACTCGTTGTTATGCCTAGGCCTCCAGCAAGGCCTACGCTTTTGTGAATCCGTCCCGCTGTGCTTCCGTCCCGGGGTGATGGCTGATGATGAATGAGAAGGGGACATCCTTGAGTAGAGGCGGGAAAGGTCCCATCAGCACAGACTGGATGGCGAGGAAACGGAGGGACCACCCGGGCTTAGCGAACAGAGTGGTCCGTCATTAACACACCACCGGGACCCTGTCTCCTGGAGGGAACCGGAGGCAAGTGCAGCGTGTTTGGGATGATGTTGATGATGGACAGAAAAAAATGCTCGGGGTCAGTAAAAGATGAGCCCAAATGTGGAGAAGGGGAATTTAAGTTTGCTCCACACAGGGCCATGGCCTCAGACACCCTGGAGTGTCCTATATATAGGGAGAAAGAAAAGGCAAACAGGGACCCAGCCCCCTGCAATGTTGCTGTCCTGGAAAAGACGCCCAGGGACAAGTAGGAACTGGGTTGGGAGTGGGGTGGAGGGTCCCACAGGACGGAGGGGTGCTGACGTTCCTCAGAGCTGTGGAAACTAGGCAGTGCAGAGAGAAGTGGCTTCACCCCCTGAGGGCCATCAGCAGCGATCTCATTTCTATGGCCAATAAAATACAAAGCAATTCCAATGATTTTGACACTGGGTTTGAAGTCACTTGAACCGCATCTCCAAAGGAATAATGATTTTATCCCTGAATGGTTAAAGGCAGCTTCCTAAAGGTAATTCCAATCTGTTCTTCCCTGCAATTGGTGATATTGGGCAACTGGGAATCTCCATAATTGGTGGGGAATCTCTCTGGGCACACACACGCACCCTCTCTCTCGGTTACAGATGCTCTGCGAGTCAGAGTGGGGTTCGTCTCTGCATCTGCCCAGCTGGGAAGGGGAGAGGCCGAAGGCTCAAAGGAGATACACGGAGCTAGCCAGGAATGGACGAGACTTTCCTCTTTTTCTTAAACTTCACCTTAATCCCCTCCATGGACAGCTCCACCCCTGTGTGGATTTGAACCACCAACCAACCCACCCACCGTCCCATAACCAGCTAACTGCCCTATGCAAGGGTATCACAGAGACAGAGGGCCACCCAACACCGACGCCTTTGCCCCGGGGACTTGAACATTTATTTATTTTGGCTCATGCCAAGCCCAGAGCCATCCACGGGGATTGGAGGGGGGACGTAGCCGTGTTTGTTCCAGTGGCCCCATGAGTTGACCGCACAGAAGTTCAAGCTTCATCCAGGGCACCGGTGACCAAGCCGCTTCCCCCACTCACTTTGCCCTGCAGAACACAGAATTACATACCCAAGAGACCCCGAGGAGTCAAGACCTGCGTCCCTCCCGCGTTACCTCCCCTACAGAGGGAAGGTCAGAATCCACAGGTCTACAATCCCAGCTGCCCTGCTTCCTCAGACAGAGCCCGTGAGCCTTGACACCTCTGGCTTCCCCTCCGTTGGAGCTTCCCCAAACCCCCCTCTTGCACTCCCCATGGCTGACGCCCCCACACACTGCCCTGGTTTCTGTATGCTGATGTGTGGTTGTGTCTTGCTTGAGGTGCATATGGGTCCTGTGTGACTCTGCTGGATGCAGTGTATGGGTTTTTGCAGGTGCATTATTTTTGCGTGGCGTGGCTTTGTTATTTTCTTTTGTGGTTTTTTGTTGCGTGCTTTTGTGTGTGTCTCTGTGTGTGTGTGTGTTACCCCAAGCACAGACTCAGGGATCCCAGAGTAACCTCCTATTGCTGACTTCTGGCTTCCCAAGCTGTGGACCCACTAATCTGTTCCTGCCGGGTGAAAGGAAGGGGCCCACCTTAGGATGGCCGGGCTTACCAAAGATTCCCCTGTGGCCTTCAGGAAACTTCTCCGAACAGGTCCAAGGACTGACACCCTGGCAGCACTTTCCATCACAAAGTATTTTCTTTATTTAGTGTCATCAGCCTGTTCTAATACAATTAATCTAAACTTAAAATAAAACATAAACAGAACTCCCTTGGCGCAAGTAGGCGAGTGAAAGTACCCAAGACTGGGTACTTTGTCATACAGTATAACTCTCAGTTTTCTGAGGTAACTTGTGTTTTAACCTCAGACTTTTGTTCTTCAACGAATCATTAATTTCCTGTTTACTTTCATTCGCACTGGTAACAGTCACATATTCAAAATCTTATCATACATGTTCACTTTCTGTTCATCTCCAATTCCACTTAGGGAATACTTCTATAGGGTTGTGGTTTAGATGCTTTCCACTTCAGTGAGTTCATGTATATCTATATCTATCTATCTGTCTGTCTGTCTGTCTTCTCCCACAAGTGTTGGTGGAAGGGGGTCTCACACTCGGTGGGAAGGCCTGTACCATGAGAAAAAGCACCTCTCTTCGATTTTCACCTTTTTAAAATCTTTCAGAGAAGCCGGAGGTGGAGGGAAAATGATGTAACTACACAATACACAAGAGCAAACCTACGAGAAAAAAGCATGGAATCAGGACTCAACATCTGAGTATCCTGCAGTCTGAATCTGGAACGTGTCAAGCAGGCAGCCAGACTGGGATCCACGGGGAAGGGCTGTCCTCTAAAGGCATCAGCTGTTTCTTTCTTTGCTTCATGAAACTCTGGATCCAAATGGTAAAGGACAATTGTTCCCAACCTAACTATGGGATTGTAATCGGGGCCACTGAACTAGAGAATGTTGTTCTAAAAATAGTTTGACTTGGACATAGTTCTTCACAGCTTCCTTGGCCGGGGTGAGAGCCAGCCAGTGGGTGCCTGCTACTTCTACCTGAACTCTTCCCAAATCTTTGACCTTTGTCAGGGTAAATTCACACTTCTCTGGAGTAGAACCGTCCACCAAGCCACCCAGAATCTCAGCCGCGCTAGTGAGGAACGGCTTCCCCAAACATGCCCAGTTCATTTCTTTAGTCTGGTGGCACAGGTCTAAGTTAGAAAACTCGATACAGGCCTGGGATTAGAATCTCGGTCAGCTAACATTCAACTGTGACTTCACTTTATACACATTTTCAGCAACTACAGAGCGTGAGTTCATTGAAAATACCACTTCTTTTGCCTCCTTATCTGCATAGTTAAGGAGAGCATTTTCCAAATCATAGGATTAGATCAGAGGTATCTTCAGGAATAATTTCCTGTAGGGTCCGGATCACAACTATCTGGGAAATACAGGTTCATATTGCCTAGTTCTAGGTCACTTACTATGGAATTCTCTCTCCAGATCATCTGAGAAAATACTGCCCTAAACAACTGAACAAAGCATGATCGTGTCTGTTTACTTCAGTTAGTTACACAATCTGGGTTCTGCCGCTGCTCACCATTTGAAAGTAGAGATGTAAAAATATTACTGTTTCCTTGGTAGCATGTCCAATAGCTTAGAGTATCCTCTCCTCTTGACGGAACTTTCTCCAGGTGATCATGAAGGGGAGTGGAAAAAGCAACAAATTAAGTAAGAAATGACTTTTAGCAAATGGTCATATGTCTCTAAGCCCCAAGAATTCTGAGCTATACTCTGCCAAACAAAATTAATACCAATAGCCTTTGGTAAAGAGAAGAAAAACCCACATCACAGAGAGGAATACAACATTTTCAGTTTCATATTAATAGGGTGACCAGATGTCCTGTTTTGAAAGGGACAGTCCCGTATTTTGGGACTTTTTCTTATATAGGCACCTATTACCCCCACCCCCTGTCCTGTTTTTTCAGAGTTGCTATCTGGTCACCCTACATATTAAGCAAAATTCCAGAGCAGGTTACATCTGATGACTCAGAATCAGGACAACAGATTCTCTCATCACATTCTCCTCTGGTCCGTTCAAACTTACTTCACTCAGTGCTGTCTCATTATTATTGAGTCAAGTTCTTTACAAGAGTTTCAGCATCATCATACAAATGTTCCCACCTGCAAACAATCCCAATTCAGGAGGGGAAAAGCCCAGAAGTGGAAAACTGGGATATAAACTTTGCATGATCACACTTTGTTTGAGGTCAATTCAAATGGCCCTTTAAAGTCTGTGACACTTTCATCTCCAGGCCTAAGAGTCGGATTTGGGATCAAAGAAATCAAAGCACAGAGGCCTGGGAACACTGCATCACCTCACACGTTGGGAGGTGGGCAAGCAGCATGTGAAGAAGATACCTTCTGTATGAGCCGGGCAGAGTTTAACACTGCTGGGATGGTAGGGAAGAAGGGAATTCCTTTGATTCATCCCATTTCGCTCTGGTGTTAGAGGGGCAGAAATGACATTTTTACATGCCTCTGCTCCTGCTTAAATCTATTTTAAATGAGAAAAACGGTACTATAAATATCTGCTGTCCAGTAACCAACAGGGCAACGTGAGAACAACGGGGAATGAGACAATTTTTCCCTAAAGGGGGAACTTAGGGACTCTAGTGACTTCTTCGCAGTGGGAGGAAGAGTAGAAATACGTGCTCCAGGTCTGTTCAGTTAGACTAGTCGAAGTGAGAGAGGTTAGGTCAAGTCATGAGGAAACAACCCTGGCCAGTACACATGGGCTGTGTCTTCACTGCAAGAATAGTTGTGTTTTCACATCAGGACAGCTAACTCGAGCGAGCTAACTCCGTGGAAAAGCAGAGCGGAGATGAGGCCCAGAGAGATTTTAACTCGATGTAGCTAGTCAAGATTACCCCTCTCTCCCCCACCTGGGATTGATGGTAGCAGGGACACACACTCCCATGACGCATAGGTAGGGCCCTTTGTTTTCGGTTAGTCTCTAAGGTGCCACAAGTCCTCCTTTTCTTTTTGCGAATACAGACTAACACGGCTGCTCCTCTGAAACTTGTTTTCGGTTGTTATTTTATTTAATTTTTCCCGGGAATTTATCGGAGTTTATTTCTACAACAACAAAAACAGGTGAAAAATCAGTGGAAAAAACGATTAATTTTTCTGGGTAAATACTGGGGTTTATTTTGGTGGACAGAAGGACGGGGTGGGGGGGGGGAAGTATTCAGCAGATTAATGCTTTGATGAATGGAATTCAAGGTGGTTTGTGGCACAACTGAATCAGAGCTCAAAACACAACGCCACCTCTGAGTTTAAGACAATAATGTCTTTAGTCCCCAAATAAAACTTGTCATTTGAATAAACAGCTTATTGTTGTAGACGAAGAACCATCAGCCGATAAATATTTCCACGTAATAATAGGGCCCCACCATTTGGAGCACATACGCTCAACGTCATCCTTTCCTCCCTGTTTCTGTTTTTTTAAAACATTTGAATACGTACTTGGGTCCTGAAACATATTCTGATGCAGATTTTCATTTTCTTCCAATTTTAGCGTGTCAGATCTTTACACCGTCATCTGCTAACAGCTTGAAATGTGTACGTGATGGGCGTGAGATTCATCCGTATGTTCAGATGCGCCCGCGCTTCAGAGTTTGTGTGTGCACACCTGTTTGTTTGTTGTGTGTATCTTCTAGACGAATACAGAGCCTTACTTCACCAGGCAGCTTTGCATAGACACACAGGCTCATGTATTATCGTAATATATCTAGCTCACACCATGCCTTGTATTTCCCTAATAAAACAAGTTATTTTTTATACATTTGAATGATACAAAAGTAGGGTGAAAATCGGAAGAAAAAACCCGAATAATTCTTTTTGTCGAACCCAAGATTTTTTCGGTAAAAATTGGTTTAAACTGAAAACGAAGGGGCTTACTCTTCGGAAAAAGGGGCTGAAAGAAAGGACCATGGGATTAACCCCAAAGGTTGAGCGGCAAAAGGCAAAAGCAGGTAAATCGTCTGGGATAGCTCAGGAAACACAGTGAATCAAATGGTGCCAATGGCCACTAAATGGGAATTAGGCAAAAAAATATATTTTGTCAGCCCTAGAGAAGGTTTTCAGGGTGTTTATAGCCCTTGCAGATTCTGTGATGGCTAGTTAGAGTTGAGCTCTGATGGAAGCCTTTCCCACAGTCAGTGCATCTATAGGGTCTCTCTTCTGTGTGGATCCTCTGATGTCTAATGAGGGCGGAGCTGTCAGCAAAGGCTTTCCCGCACTCACAGCATTTATAGGGCCTCTCACCCGTGTGGATTCTCTGATGCGTAATAAGGACTGAACTGTCAGCAAAGGCTTTCCCGCACTCACAGCATTTATAGGGCCTCTCTCCTGTGTGGATTTTCTGATGTCGAATGCGGTGTGAGCTCTGCCTGAAGCCTTTCCCGCACTCGCTGCATTTATAGGGCCGCTCTCCGGTGTGGGTTCGCTGATGCGTAGTAAGGTCTGATCGGTAACTGAAGCTTTTCCCACACTCACGGCATTCATAGGGTCTCTCTCCCACATGAATTCTCTGATGATTAATAAGGGCTGATCTATCAGCGAAGCTTTTCCTACACTCACAGCATTCGTAAGGTCTCTCTCCTGCGTGGGCTTTCTGATGTCTAATAAGATCGGAGTGGTAACCGAAGGTTTTCCCGCACTCACTGCATTCATAAGGTCTTTCCCCCGTGTGGATTCGCTGGTGTTCAATCAGGGCTAAGCGGTAACTGAAGGTTTTCCGACACTCACGGCATTCATAGGGCCGCTCACCTGTGTGAGTTCTCTGATGTCGAATAAGGTCTGAGTGGTTACTGAAGGTTTTCCCGCACTCACTGCATTCATAGGGGCGCTCGCCTGTGTGCATTCGCTGATGTATTATAAGGTGTGAGCTCCGAGGGAAGTTTTTCCCGCACTCACTGCATTCATACGGTCTCTCCCCTGTGTGGATTCTCTCATGGTTAATAAGGCCCGAGCGGTTACTGAAGTTTTTCCCACACTCAGTACATGTGTTTTTTCTCTCTTCCGTGAGGATTCTCTGCTGGGCTTCCACTTGCTCAGCATCTTCCTCCTGAGGATTCTGCTTCTCGTTCTCATTCTCCATCCCAACACCTAGTGGGGGAAAGAGACGGAAACCTCAGAAACAGGAATGGAAAAGGGGGGAACAAACCCAAGTAATATCTGGAGACATGGGAAGGAAATCAGGAACTGAATTCCCCCAACACTTCCTCGTAGGGGGGAGAGGAGGGATCAGTTCTGCCTCCTAAACCCATCAAAATACTCAATGGGAAGAGAGGGCAGGAGGGAGCCATTGCCAGGTGTCAGTCAGGGTGAGTAGGAGCAACATCTGCCCTGAGGATCCATCACCTGCTGGGAACAATCCTGAATGTTGAGAGCTCACAAGGTCTTTCTAGGGAATCCCTACAGTTTCCTTCAGACACTGACAGTTTCTGACTTGGATGAACAATTGATTCCTTACCCACGCAGTCAACTTTCATGATCTCTCTTTCTTCTGGATTCGGATACGTGGGACCCACGGCTCCTCCTCTCATTCTAGGTGGGGTGATCACATCGGTTTTGGAAACCGGAAACCCTGGGGTTCAAAAGGGAGCTAGATAAATTCACGGAGGATAGGTCCATCAATGGCTATTAGCCAGGATGGGCAGGGATGGTGTCCCTAGCCTCAGTTTGCCAGAAGCTGGGATTGGGTGACAGGGGATGGCTCACCTGATGATTCCCTGTTCTGTTCGTTCCCTCTGGGGCACCTGCCAATGGCCACTGTCGGAAGACAGGACACTGGGCTAGATGGACCTTTGGTCTGACCCAGTCTGGCCGTTCTTATGTTCTTATGCTCAAGGGAAAGAAAACAGGTGAATTCATAATACGTCCTGCAAATTTTTAGCGTGTGTAGTGGACACCTTTCTGATTCAGAAAGTTGAGGCCACAACTAGTGGATTAACCACTTTGGATCTGGTTTTGACCCACAGGGATGAATTAGTTACAAGTGTGAAGGTGGTTGGGAACTTGGGAGGAAGGGGTCATGATCTGATCGAATTCAAGATCCTATGGACAGGAGGACACAAGACCAGCAAAACAAGGACACTGGACTTCAGAAAGGCAGATTTCAACTGGCTCAGAGAAATGGCAGGCCAGGTCCCATGGAAAGACCAGTTAGGAGGAAAAGGAGTTGAAGGACGCTGACGGTTCCTAAAAGATGTAATATTAGAGGCTCAACATCAAGCTATTCCGACGCAGAGGAAAGACAAGAAGAGCCAAAGGAGGTCAAAATGGCTGCACAAGGAGATTTTTAGCTCTCTAAAACCCAAAAGGGACACATCCAGGACAGGGAAGGAGGGACATGTCACCAGGGAAGTCTACATGGGAATAGCACGAGCGTGTAGAGACAGAAATCAGGAAAGCCAAGCCAAAGAATGCGTTACGGCTGGCAAGCCACGTTAGAGACAACGGCTTCTTCAAAAATATCAGACAAAAAAGATCGATCAGGGATGGGGTGGGTGCGCTGCTCAACGGAGAGGGTGAGCTGGTAACGGAAGATGAGAGGAAGGCAGAGCTGCTCAGTGCCGACTTGGCTTCAGTCTTCTCACAAAAAATTACCTGTGACCGGTCGACTGGCGAAGTTACCATAGACAATAAAGGGGAAGGGATAAGCAAAGAACATGTCAGAGATTTTCTGACCAGTTTGAAAGAATTCATACTAGGGGGGGCTGAAGGAATTAGCTGAAGAAATCTCGGAGCCACTGGCAATAATATTTGCAAACTCGCGGGTGACGGGAGAGGGGAAGACTGGAGAAGGGCTCACGTGGTGCCCGTCTTTAAAAAGGGGGAAAGGAGGAGCTGGGGAATTAGAAACCAGCCAGCCGCCCTTCGACAGCTGGAAAGCTACGAGAACCATGTATAAAACATTCAATTTGCGAATACCTGGAGGACGAAGGGGTGATGGCTAGCAGCCAGCATGGATTTACTAAGAACAAATCATGCCAAACCAGCTTGATTTCCTTCTTTGACACGGTAACTGGTTTGGTGCACAGGGGGAATGCGGTGGATATAATATACCTGGACTTCAGCAAGGCTTTTGACACATCCCACATGACATTCTGATAAGTAAGCTGGCGAAATGCGGGTTCGGTGGAACTACCATTAAGTGGATACAGAATTGGTTAAACAACCACAAACAAAGAGTAACTATTAATGGAACGATGTCAGATTGGAGGGAGGTCTCAAGTGGGGTTCCACAGGGATCTGTTCTGGGTTCAGTGTAGTTTAACATCTTTATCAATGACCTGGATGTCGGAATAGAGAGCGTACTGATCAAATTTTCAGACGACACAAAGCTAGAGGGGGGTTGCCAACACTTTGGAGGATGGAGCTAAAATTCAGTTGGATCTTGGTAAACTGGAGACCTGGGCTACAGATGACAAAATAAAATTCAGCAAAGACAAATGTAAAGTGCTACACTTAGGGAAGAAAACACACAGACGCAGAATGGGGGGATAACTGGCTTGGAAGCACCACGGCTGCGAAGGATCTGGGCGTTGTGGTGGATCACAACCTCCACATGAGCCAGCAATGAGATGCTGTTGCAAAAAAAGCAAATGCAATTTTAGGTTGCACTAACAGAGGCATAGCCTGCAAGTCATGGGAGGTGATCGTACCTCTGGTTAGACACATCACTCCAGCTGAGGTCTAATTTTGGTCACCAGTGTAGAGAAAGGATGAAAAGACACTGGAAAGGATCCAGAGGCGAGCGACAAAGATGATCAGAGGGATGGAACGCAAGCCAGGTGAGCAGCGGCTGAAGGAACTGGGTATGTTTAGTTTGGAAAAGAGGAGATTAAAGGGGGACGTGATAGCGGTCTTCAGATACTTGAAAGGCTGCCATAACAAAGATGGAGAAAAGTTCCCTCTGGCCCCAGAGGGCAGGACCAGAGGCAACGGGTTCAAACGGCAGCCTAGCAGATTTTAGGTTAAATCTCAGGACAGGCTTCCTAACTGTGAGAACAGCAGGACCATGGAACAGACGCCTCGGGAGGTCGTGGAAGTTCTTCCACGGGAGCTTTTCAAAAGGAGGCTGGCGAGCCTCTGTCTTGGGTGGTTTAGACACAACACATCCTGCCTCGTGGCAGGGGGTCAGACTAGGGGACCCAGGTGGTCCCTTCTAACCCTGTGGTCCTATGACATTTCTCACAAGGAACGTTCCAGTATTTTAACCCGAGCCCATTTTAAAGCAGTCACCTCCTGAGGCCAGCTCTGCGGGTGCCCAGATGTGGAGAAGGCTGGGGATTTAGATGCTGTAATTCACGAGCAAAAAGGCTAGCTCCTCTGGAACAGGAGAATGTGAAAAACACACCTTCTGCCATGCGATCTTGGTGGGGGGCTGACTCAAAGATCCCAGGAGCCTGCCGGGAAGAGAGATTGTGGCTGCTGCAGAAGGGGATGGGGAAGCAAGACCCTACGAATCAACGGACGTTTCACTACCCACCCTACGACATCTCCAAGAAAGTGCACATTTCTGCCAGGGAAGGGATCGCTTTGTGACTGGGAAGAATGTAAGGACTTAGGAATGATAAACTGGGATCCATATGGATAGGAAAGATGTGTGTGTATGGGGTGGGGAGTGGGAGGGGAGGGGACGGAGGTACTGAGCAGTGCCGGAAAGGGAGGAGTGAGAATACGAATATTATATATAGTATATTAATATACGTCTAAGGTTAACACGGGCATTTTACAGTGACATTAATAACCAGCGTGTAGTTAGCTTCCACATGATACCTCACGGGCATATTTTGTACAAACATGACCGCAGTAGTGTGTACGTGAATACAAGGGGGCTAGGATCACCCCCGAGCCTTGTGTTTTCTCCCCCTCCCTCCCACTGCCTGCAGCTGGTCCTGCTACCCCTTGCCCCAGATTTCCGGTTCCCCAATCATGTTCAACCCCCCACTCCCACTGTCCCCACTGTTCCTTGTTCCTGACTCCCAGCAGCTCCAGCCAAAAAGTGTCCCCTTCCCGCCGGCCCATGGCTAGTACCCCCACTTCCTGGAGCACCCGCTACCCACCACCCACCTCCCTTTACTCCCACCACCAAGCTGGCCTGACCCAGGCCCTCCCATTGCTCTCAGCCCTGCACAGCAAACCACCGTCCTAGAGCCCCTGCTCCAGGGAATCCCCTTCCCCCCAGCCCCACTCAGTACCTGCTGCCCCACTCTTCCTGGGGGAAAGAAGCCAATCACATGGAAACTCTGGGAGGCTCCCATCTACACCCTGCTTAGAGCAGCCAGAAGGCCTCAGGTGAGGGGAGAGACAGAGGACAGGGTCTTCACATTCATCACATACCTAGTAGCCAAAAGGTGACGCAGGAGATGGAGCCTCCGGCATGGTCCACGAGAATCGCCCCCGGTAGGAATCTCAACAACTTTCCCTTTCCTAGCAGCTTCCTGTGACGGGATGGGGCATCTCCCCTAAGCCTCATTGCTGGGTTCCCCCTTCGTATCTCACACCAGCCGCTGGTTAGTGAGGTCAGGTCCAGCACTGGGAGTCTGGGGCATGTTCCCAGCCCCCTGTCCAAGGACTTGGTTTCCTTTCCACAAATTAGGGAATTTACACACACACACACACACCCCCAGGCCGCATGGGTCCGTTCTTAGACTCTAGCCCCAGGGTAAACCAGTCCCAGCAGCTTAGTAACCCCATGGCCCCTCGCTTTCTCCAGCCTGTGTATTTCCCGCCACCTGCCCATCTCCCGACCAAACCCTCAAATGCTCCCAACTCCAGGGTGTTTACCGCTCCCCTCCCTCCAGCAACTCCCTGACCATCCCATACCTCGACTGGCTTCACGGCAGCCCCTTGCCTTCCCTGTCCCCTGGGAGGACAAAGGGCATTTGGGGAGATTTCAGAACAAGCTTCGGTTTATATCACATCCGAATTCCCCACCCCCAGGCTCTTCCCCTGCTGACAGATGTTCCAGACTCTGCCCCGCACATCACCGAAATATCCAGAACACAAGACCGGGCAGCCAGGGAGTGACGCTAGCGACCCAGCACGGGGCCAAACGCACAATGTCCTATAAGCCTTTGGAATCTACTGGGCACAACTCTGGATTTCAGAAAATGGGAAAAGTAACCATTTTCGACTTAGGGGGCTCAGGACAGGGGGTCGGGGTGCAGGAGGGGTGTGGGGTGCAGGAGGGGGCTCAGGGCAGGGGGTTCGGCTGCAGGAGAGGTTTGGGGGGGGCGGGTCCGGCCCAGTGCGCACCGGGGGCAGGTGCCTCCAGGTACCTTCCCCGAAGCTCCCATTGGCCATGGTTCCCCGTTCCCGGCCAATGGGAGCTTCGGGGGAGGTACCTGGAGGAGCGGCCAGGGCAACACACAGACCCCTGTGCCCCTCCCGCCCCTCCTGCCCTGCCCCCGGTGCGCACCGGGCCGGAGCTGCTCTAGGTAAATGCTGGGGGGGCGTGGGGAGCTGGCGGGCCACAGAAAATAACCCCGCGGGCCGCGCGTTTGGGACCCCCTGCTATAAAGGATGAGACAAACGATTCTCAAATCAGAGGGGAAAGTTGATCACTGGGGAATCTAGCCCCCCTGCAACTTCCAATCTGGAGAATGACTTGGGGCAACAGGTTCCCTCCAGACAGGGGAAGCTGCTGGGATTGCAACAGATGGGGAACACCTCCACGGGGAGGATTGTCAGCCGATATTTGGTAACTGCATAGAAAATGGCAAAACCTGAGATTTGATACCAGTGTTCACAAATTAACCAGAGAAGGGGGAAATTTTAGGATTTTGCCACCCATTTGCACAAAGCAGAGAAGAAAACGTGAGGGATTTTAGATCACTAACTGATAATAGGCAGGGGTAAAATGTGAGCAAAATTCTTATGAATACTTTATATTTCGAAAAAAGGGGCAACACGTGGAAGGATTTTAGATCAACCGTCGAGAATCTGAGACAAACAAATTTGGAGGATATTCTATGTTAACAATTTATAATTAGAGAGAAAGGGAAGAATCTCTGGGCCTATTCAATTAGTCATCGATAACTAGAGAGAAAACGGGGCAAATTTTTTGGGGGGGGCTATATCAATCTTTAAGAATTGGAAAGAAAATGGGTCAAAGCCGAAGTATTTGAAAAGACGAGAGAAAAGCACCGAGAGCAGAGGGAGATTCAACAGGGGGAGGGGAAAGGGAGACAGCCTGCATGTGAACGTTCAATGAACACACAGCCGAGGAAGTGAGCGGTAGCCCACGAAAGCTCGCGCTCAAACCAAGTGGCTCGTCTCTGAGGTGCCACAAGTCCTCCTGTCCTTTTTGCGGACACCGACTAACACGGCTGCTGCTCTGAAACCAAGAACCACCCAGACAGGGATGGTTCTCCCCCTCCACCATCACCATGCGGGCAGCAGGGAGCCCTTTGGGAGGCCACTTTAAGAGAGCAGGGGTGCCCTACGGCTCGGGAAGGCTGCCGGGGAGGGGGCATTGGCAGCTGGCGGCTTGTGGGTCTTGCACTGGGAAGGCAAGAGCTGGGACTGGTCACTCCCCCGGTGACACTTGCTCCTGCCTTTCACTGCTCTGCCCCTGCCAGGCCCTGTTGCTGGCAGAGAGCGGCCGCCCCGTCCCCACCCCAGAGCCAGCCGCCTCTCAGGGCTCTCCCAGGCTGTGCCCCTACAGCCGCCTACCCCTCTAGGGGGGCACACAACTTTACAAAAGGACAACTGGCTGCAGGTAAAACGGGGGGGGGGGAATATCCCGAAGCTTAAGGAGATTTTAAACTGACCTTTGAGAACCGAGAGAGAAAATGGGGTAAAATCTGAAGCCGACAGAGACAGAGAGAAAAAGGTGGGGGGGGGGGGGGCGGGATCTACATGGATTTTATCCCCGTATTTGACAATTGGAGACCAAGGGGAAGAATGCGGGGGAAATTATTGAGACTAAAGTGACAAAAGCAGAGAGGAAACCCCCCTCCCCCCCCCATCTCCAGCCTGCTCCGAGCCAGGTCCACCCCCCCCGTTCACACGGTCTGTCCCCTGCACCCCCGGACAGGCCGAGCGTCACTTTCCCACGGTCTCTGCCCGTTACCTGCGGCCAGGGGCTGGTCCCAGCTGGAGAGAGCCCCCCCCGGCCGGGCCGGGAGGGGTTAATGAGGGGTCCCCCCCAGCACAGACCCCGGGGAGCAGCAGCAGGCTCTGGCCCGGGCTCTGGGCTTTGTTCTCCCGGCTCCTTCCTCCGGCCCCCAGCGGCTCCAGCCCCTTCCTGTGTCTGCAAAAAGCATCCCGGGCGGCAGCGCCGTGCTCCGGCGGCTCCCCGGCTCTCCGCCAGCCCCGGGGCCGCTGCACGGGCCCCCTGGGCGGGGAGGAGGCAAGCGACCCCAGGTCTCCGGGCCGTGGAGAGGGGGAGGTTGAAAGGGGCAGAAGGAGGAATTAGGGGGGCAAAGAATTTCCCAATTCCCCCTGCCTCACTCCTGGGTAGATCCGCTGGAGGGGATACAGAAGGGCCCTAGCCGAGCGGGAGGGTTGGGCCAAAAGAAATCGGATGAGGTTCAAGGAGGACAAGCGCAGAGTCCTGCATTGGGGAGGGAAGAACCCCATGCACCGCTGCGGGCTGGCAGGGTGACCCCACCTCCCGCTTTTAGGGGACCTGTCCCGCGTCCCGGCCTTACATGGGTCAGGCTGCCCCTTGTCCCGGTATCGGGACCGTCCGCCTCCCACCGCTTCCCCATCCCCCCTGCCAGGACCCTCCCCTGTGGATAAGCTTTCGGGAGCCACAGCTCACTCCATCGGATGCATGCCGTGGAAAATACAGGGGGGAGATTTAGATACACAGAGAACATGAAATCTCCCCCCTGTGTTTTCCACTGCATGCGCCCGATGAAGTGGGTTTTAGCTCGTGAAAGCTTATGCTCGAATAAATTTGTTAGTCTCTACAGTTTACATGAAATCTCCCCCCTCTATTTTCCACTGAATGCATCTGATGAAGTGGATTTTAGCTCGCGAAAGCTTATGCTCGAATAAATTTGTTAGTCTCTACGGTGCCACAAGTCCTCCTGTTCTTTTCACCTCACTTGATCACTCTGGTTACAGTGGGCATGGTAACCCCCATTGTTTCATGTTCTCTGTGGATATAAATCTCCCCCCTCTATTTTCCACGGCATGCATCCGATGAAGTGGGCTGTAGCCCGCGAAAGCTTATGCTTGAATAAATTTGTTAATGTCTAAGGTTTACATGAAATCTCCCCCCTCTATTTTCCACGGCATGCATCCGATGAAGTGAGCTGTAGCCCGCGAAAGCTTATGCTTGAATAAATTTGTTAGTGTCTAAGGTTTACATGAAATCTCCCCCCTCTATTTTCCACGGCATGCATCCGATGAAGTGAGCTGCAGCTCACGAAAGCTTATGCTCAAATAAATGGGTTCGTCTCTAAGGTGCCACAAGTCCTCCTGTCCTTTTTGCGAGTACAGACTAACACGGCTGCTCCTCTGAAACCTCCCCTGTGCAAAGACCCTCGTGCACAAGTCTGAGCCAGGTTAGGAGAGGGGTGGAGGGGCCCTTGGGACAGAGGAGCGTGGAGGCCCCTCAGAGTTAAGAAAACGAAGTGATGCAGAGTGAGTGGCCTTCGTGATCATCACTGCAAAAGTTGTTTTCTCCTGCTGATAATAGCTCATCTTAATTAATTAAGGTATGGCTACTTCCACCGTTTCATGTTCTCTGCACGTATATATCTCTTCTTACTCCATGTTCCATTCTGTGCATCCGATGAAGTGAGCTGTAGCCCACGAAAGCTTATGCTCAAATAAATGGGTTCGTCTCTAAGGTGCCACAAGTCCTCCTTTTCTTTTTGAGAAGACAGACTAACACGGCTGCTACTCTGACACCCTTCACAAAAGAGTTAGTAGCAGAATTTTTGCCCCAGTTTTTTAAGAATTAATTTGCTGGTAATACCAAATTCCATTTTTTGAAAGCACAAACTTCAACAACCACTATGTCCCCTTAGCAAAACGTGAAAGAAAAAAGTATTAAATTGAAGCAAAATGAATTTTAAATACGGGTCTAGGCAAACCCTTTGACCGTATTAAACTTTCATGACACTGGGTTGTGTTTGAGAGGCAAAGGAGGAAACCTGCTGCAATTGTTTGGTTAGCATTAATACTTTGCCACATAACCAGACATCGTGTATATTGTGATGTGTTTTAACAAGCGTTTTTATAACTGTATGTTAATATTTAACAAAGGAGCAATCACATTTATAAAGAAACTGACATTTTACTAATACTAAGAAAGGAGTCACGTGACACACACAGCCGACAACACAAGATGACGTACGAAGCAAACGTACAGTTATATAAAGGACGCCATTCGATGGAAGTAAGAAAAACCCAATTTTCAAACACTAGTCAGCGGTTAGGATTAGAAGCAAAGTTGATGTTTCTTTCGCTTGGCAACCATGTCTTCAAGAAAGCCCAGGAACGCCTCACTTAACGTTCTCGTTCTGTCCCTGAAAAATGCGACTTTAAGCGAAACCGATGTTAAGCGAGTCCAATTTCTCCATAAGAATGAATGTAAATTGGGGAGATTAGGTGCCAGGGAAATTTTTTTGGCCAGACAGAAGACTATATTTCATATACACACATCCACGCAGTAAAAGTTTTAAACAATTTAATCCTCTTTAATGCATCTGAAGAAGTGGGGTTTTTACCCACAAAAGCTTATGCCCAAATAAATGTGTTCGTCTTTAAGGTGCCCCCGGACTCCTCGTTGTTTCAGTGTAATACTGGTACACGGCAATGCTGACTGTGAAGCTTGGTGGAGGTGGAGGAGTCCGAGGGTGGGATATTTCCCAGGAGATGCCTTGCTGCGAAATGATGAATTCGCACTCGGCTGAGCCCTCAGGGGTTAACATGTTTGTTATTAATGTAGCATCACACTCCACAAGGCAGCCCGAATTGGGGCGGGGGTGGGGAGACAGCATGGCGGGGAGAGACAGAGACACACACCCTGTGTGTGAGAGAGACGCGCGTTGCCCCTTTAAGTACGATGAGCACCCCACTCCAAGTACATTGCCTTTTTAAGGAGATCAGCAAGTGGAGACTGCAGCTGCTGCCAGCAAGCTCCCTCCGTCCTGAGCCCCCAGGGGAGGGGGACACCCTGACCCCTCTCCCCCTGCCCCCCCCTCTGCCCAGCAAGCAGGAGGCTCCGGGGAGCAGCTCCCGGGCAGGAGCAGCACGCAGGCCGTGGGGTGGGACAGCTGAACTGCTGGCAATTGGTAGCCTAATTAATTTTGCACCGGGAGCTTAGGGGGGCTGAGAGGGGGGCTGCCGGCCCAGCCTGGTTCCAAGCCCCCCCCAGCTCGCTGCGACGGGCTGCTCTTCCTGCAAGCCGGGGACGACGACATCAGAAGGGGGCCTTGCACCCTGTTCCCTAATTGATCAGCAGGGCAACAAGGGAGGCTGTTCAGTGAGGAGTCCCTGTGAGTATTTCCAGCTCTTGCATCCCTGAAGCAGGGGGTCACATAATCGATTCACTGGACTTATCTACCCTTACGGGGTCCACTTGTTTTCGCTTTGTTTTGTTTTCAGTGGCTTCCTCTTTTTCAGCAGTGAAGTTCTCTGTCACAACTCTTAAAACAAAGAGAAAGCAGAAGTGGGGGGGAGCAACCCAGGACGGGAGGGAGACCTGAGCCAAGAGAAATGAACTAACTTTGTCAGGTTATCTTAAAAGTACAGGCAACGGCTGGGAACTTAGCAACTCAAAGAAGATGTACAGGAAAACTTAACCTGTATTTAAAAATATTTGAGACGGGAGGTTATCTTCTTAGCTCTGCGTGAGGGTCCCTGGGTTAAAGCCATTGGGAACCTGTGCCCCCGGTTTTTGTCCTGGCTCTGAGAGGAGTGTTCTGGCTAACCCTGAATTTGTTCCCCCAGCGTCTGTTGCTTTTGTGTTGCCTCGATTCTTATTTTCTAACTTTTTCTTTGTGTCTGTTACGCGCCCTGGCATATGCCCGTCCGTGTTTCCCCACTGCGTTTCTTACCACTCCTATGGGGCACTTTTACTTGTTACCCAAACTCTGTGGGGATTGGAAAAGGGGGTTCCCTAGCTCAGCGTTTTCTGTCACGTTAGATCGCGATTCCCACACAGGACAGCTCGCCACTTACCGGACCCGTGGTCGGGGAATCGGTGTGGTCAGTTGGCGCGTGTGTGTGTTTTTAGAGCGTGCCGTTCAGCAGACCTCGAGAGTACGACCCAGTGGGGTTAAGGGCTGGAGTGTCGGGAGCGCCTCTCGGAGCTTCTGTCCTTGGAGCGCCGATGTTCTTAGCCGATCACGCAGCAGGTTCATTCAGCAGACCTCCGTGTTACGCGTGGCCAGGCTGATTGTCCGTGAAGTACCGTGTTAGCCCCCCGGATCAATGTCTGCCGGGACACTAACCCGTGCATGCTCGTGGCAATGGCCTCGGCTCAGTCAGCGGTGGGATTTTCCGCGGTCCCGTAGGCTGGAGAAAGGGCAGAGGCGAGGTACCAGACATTTATAGGCCGAAACAAGTAACTGGAACATACAACTTACGTTCCTCCTTACCTGTTTCATGACATCCATTTGTCACCTCGCTGGGTTCCTAATATCTGTGACAAAACATCCCGAGGCACTGTTTGGTCAAACCATCTTATGGTGTAGTCAGCTGGGATGTATCTCTCCCAGCTGGAATATATTCACATACGTCTCTAGTGCCTAGGACTCTAGCCAGAACTTTGCCAAGTTCACGTACTGGATGGTGAACCTGTAAACATCTGCTTTTATACATGGCCTGATTTTGGTTCACAGCCTCTGGGTTCAGGCCTCAGACCTTGCCCCAGACTCACGGCTCCAGGCTCCTTCTACAAGACCAGAACCTAAGGGCTGACCGAGACCATGATTCTTCAGGGCATGTGTCCTCTGAAAAGTGATTTATTGTCTCTTTGACGCCCATTTC